TCTCGAACATATACATCATCACTAAAATGTTCAGAACACATATATGATAAACAAGGATTCATACTGTCTCCTCTTCTACACTTAATAGTCCACTTATTTTGTAGCTCTGGGTCTTTTGGAAACCTAAAAATTAGAGTAAAATCTATATTTTTGTTTGAAAGTATGCTAACTGAGCAATACCTAGTATGGCAATAGTATAGCAATACCTATATGGCCTATTGGTCATTTCATTTGAATATTTAAAAATATTGCAACTTGTAACTTAAAACTGTAGGTACTAAGTATACATTCCCAAACAAATTAATATTTATTTAATACATACGATTGAATTTACATTTATAATTAACTTAGTTAGTATTAAATTAATTATATTATTATTATTATTATTATTACCTGTAAAATGATATATTAGTATTTCCAAATCGCTTCACCTTGCCAGCATAATTAATGCATGTTGCTACAGCTCAACATGATCCACCTTTGGGTTTTAATGATTTTGTTGTCATGTCTTAATATTTTTTAGTACTAAACGTGGATTGGACAAAATTTAATGAGCAAAAGAAAACACGTGAATTATAATGACTGAATACAGCAGTTGAACCACAGAACAGATTAAATTTAATGATTGAACCAGTGGTTTTCAACCTTTTTAACAATGTAGCACACTTCTTCTTCTACAAAATTTTTGCGGCACATCAATTCATATAATACGTGAAGCATATATTTTTATATATAATACATATATATATGTATACAAAATTAATTTCATCAATAGATTTATCGCGGCACACCAGTGTGCCGCGACACACCGGTTGAAAACCACTGGGTTGAACGATAATAAACAAACACTTTGTACTTTGGCTGACGTCACGGCGTGGTTTCTCCCACTCCTATCATTTCATAATTTGTAAATGAGGTAACCTCTATTATCTATAAACCTTGGGTGTCTTTTTTTTTTTTTCCATCTTGAAACCGGGAACGGGTGGGAACTGTTTAGCACAATACTGCCACCCGAACCCGTATCGTTTATTCACCATAACAAAAAATTACAACAAACATAGCGATACATACTATATATACATACGTGGGGGCCTCTAACCACCCTAGGTATTTGGCCTTCAGCCCACAAACTCAACCACCATATATTAATCGCGCCTGTCTGGACCGCTCCGCATCCTCCTTCCGCTCGAGAATAACCTCCACCATTCTGCCAAACGCCAACCTCTGCTTCTCCGCCATGGCCTCAATACGTCGTCTCCTGAACGCATCATCTGGAAGGAGCTCCTGCTCCGGCCCCATGATGATATCTGGCACATCACTGGGCCGTAGTGGCCGGCCGACGCATTGCTCCATCTCCCGTCCGTCTTCTGCCCAGAACGGACAGTTAAACAAGGTGTGCTCCACAGTGTCCTCCGGCTCTTCGCAGTGCATGCAGCAGGGGTTAGCTGCCCTTTTCCTCTTCCACAGGAAGTACTGGTAGCATCCGTGACCCGTCAACGCCTGGGCCATGCGAAATGTCATGACTTCAAGCCTTGACTGATACACCCACCTTCTGATATTTTAAATCATCCTCCTCGTCCACGCCGCCTTCGTCGTGTGGTCCCAAATCACCTGCCAATCGTGCAGTGTTACCTCACGCTCCTGCCTCCTTATGACCGCCACCGTCGTGAGCTCTCGCTTGCGCTCCTCAATTCTGCGTCGCTCATCGGCCAGCAGGTGGGCCGGAGGCATTCTTGCTAAAACCAGAGCTGCCATATCGGACACGGTCCTATAGCACCTCGCAACACGAATAGCGGCACCTCTCTGGGCCTGACTGAGGGCCGACCTATTCCGAGCCGTCTTTGCTGCCTTCAGAGCCCAGACCGGTGAAGCATACAACAGCTTGCTGAGCGCCACCGACATGAGTAGCCGCCTCCTACATGCCGAGGGCCCCTGGATGTTTGGCATCAACCTTCCAAGAGTGGACACCGTTCGCCTGGCTGCAGCTGTCACTAGTCTGATATGGTCACCAAAGTTAAGTCTCGTGTCCAACTGAACCCCGAGGTACCTCATCGAGGACTTAACTGGGATTTGCTGTCCACCTAAAGTAAACGTAGGATTCCGATAGGCCCATTTGTTGGTTAGGACAACCGCTTCCGACTTCTGCGGTGCCACCTGCAAACCGTTCTCCTGCATCCATCTGTCAATTGACTGCAGCGCTGCATTACCAATGATTTCCAAGAGGTCCGCATTGGGTGCCGTGATGACCAGAGCAATGTCGTCAGCGAAACCCACCAATTTCACAGCTTCGTGGAGCTCCAGCCGCAGTAGATCGTCATAGAAGATGTTCCATAAGCAAGGTCCAATGACCGAACCCTGCGGAACACCACACAAAACCTCCATCCTGGTTATATCGCAATCATCGCCATTTACCAATAAGGTACGGCCACCCATATAGGACCGCAAAAGGCGTACCAAGTAACCTGGAAACCCACGTTTCTGAAGTGCTGCATCGATGAGACACCATGACGCCGAGTTGAAGGCATTCCTCACATCTATGGCAACCACAGCACACAAATGCCTACTGCGTGCTGGACCCCTGGCTGCCTTCTCTGCTGGGTGTCTGAAACCGTACGCTTGATAGTTAATCGATCTAATTATTTTGAACGTGTGCTTAATAGATAGTCGATCTAATTAGTTTTAATACTTATTTGACCGTGTAGAGTTTCGCTTACGGTCGATTTAAATGAGAGTTTTTGTGCGATACGTAGATTGATTTCATTAAGATTTTGATCTAAGTTAGAATAAAATCGGGCACGAATTGCACTAGGTTGCATGGCACGGAGCTATTTACCCCGGTGTGTATTGCTACGCTGACCGCGGTGAACTACGGTTCTAAAATTTTTAGATGAAAACATTCATAATTAATTTTATATATAAATAATAAAGTTAAGTTATTGATTTACTATTCCCCATATGTACGAGTTTTTAATAACTTAAATTAGTATATTTAATATTTTTCTAATATGAATATGTTATCTTCATGTAATATTTAAAGAATTAGTAAAAATAAATATATTGTAATCAAGAGTAGTTAATGTAGGTATGTTAATTTAATTTTTATTAATTAATCTAGGGTTTTAGACATGTCAAGTCTTAATATTTTTAATTATGTAGTTATGACCTTACCCAAATTTTGCAAAAATTTGCACTACGGAAATTTGTTCATACCCTAGTAAAATTATTGATAACTAATGTGTTCATTACCTTTGATAAATAATATATAATAAATTAATGTCCATTATTTGGTCTATACACACACAAGATAGTTTTGAAATAAAATCAATGTGTGAATAGGCTTTTAACTACTCTTAGGACTATATTAGCTTATTTCAAGAATGACAAACCTATGACCTGAATGTCTACAAATGAAAAGATAAGATCTTAAAAAATAAAAAAAAAAATGATTAAATAATTATATGACATAAAGGTGTAGAAATTTTTGCCATTCTTGAGTTGAGATTTTTTAAGCTAACAAAAAATTGTAATTGTTGCATGAATATTATTACTTCTGACCAAATATTAAAAGAACATAATATGATTCAAACACGTCAATATGAGAATTGTGACTTGACTTATCCAAATGCAGTGGCGATGGACATTTTTAATTATTTAATAGAAATGTTGAATCTTAATTTTGACAAATTTGTATACAAATGTAACTCTAAAGCGTCTTATAACTATTTAATTTGTTTTTAAAGACTGCTACTAATCTTCTGATTTATTCTTATATAACTTATGTAAATCGAATATCGACAAAAGGTGAAAAATCTGTAACATCTGATCAGATGAAAATTAATGCTATGGTATACCATGACAAATATGCAAAAAAGAAAAATGTACTATTAAGACAAAATGTAAACTATGTATAATTAATTATGTAAATAATAAATTGTAACAGTAGCGGCTCGTGGTACGGTGCACAGAAGCTCATGAACCACCCAAAAAAATTATTATATGCCATAATAACATAATATAATTGATGATTAGGGATGAGAAGTTATAGGAGCTAAAATAGACAAAATATGCATGCAAATATGTAAGGAAAAATTATGATATACGCATAAAAAATTTAAAAATATGCAAAAAATATATTACAATACGTATGTAATTTTTTCCATAAATAAAAACATGTTTAAAATAAATTAATATAAATAATATCCCATTAAATTTGTTTCTATTAAATTATAAATAATTTTTAACTGAGTGATAAAATAATTAATATAAAAATAAATATAAAGTATAAAAATCAATATAAAAATGATTGGTCAGACTAAAGCTAGGCGCAAATTGAGACGTAGGCGACGCAGCGCAGCGTAGCACAAGTCAGCGTAGGACCGAACTGCGTGACCCGTGTGAGCGAATATTACTACACAGTATTTCAACGCAGTTGCGTATAATCATTCGATGAAAACATTTGAGACATGATGGCTCACGAATTATTTAAATTAGATTTAAGTTCGGAATCCGATTCTGATGAGGAATTAGATGAACTGGTTTTATATTCTTTAATTAAACGAAAAAAGTCACGAAATAGTGATTTTAAGAAAAAAAGAAAGAGTCACGGAGAATTTGTTTTGACAACGGAATTATCTGAAAAACAATTTACTAACTACTTCCGCTTAAATAGATGTCAATTTCATGAAGTTCTCAATATTATAAAGGATACTATTTTTTCTGAAGGGTGTAATGCTCAAAGACCTATTGATCCTGAAAAAAAACTCGCCGTGTTCTTATGGTAAGTTTTTAAATATTTATTTAAAAATTCAAATAAAAAAAAGTACATACATACTTATATCATAAAGTAAATTCGCATTAATTATGAAAAATATATATATATTGTGTGTTTTAATAATATACACAATATTAAAGTAGACCTATACTTTATTTTAAATTATTAAAAAGTACATAAAATATTATTGATATAACCAAAAAATAAAAATGAAGTAACTCAAACTAATTCATTCAGAAAAATTGTTAATATAATTTACCATGTCGTTACTATTTTCACAAGTTTGTGTATTCACGTAATAAGTGTCAGACGAAGAAGTTTCGTGAGAACTTAAAGAGTTCTGTTCATAACTCCACGCAGCAGTAGACCGAGGTTGCTCATGGTTTGTTTGTTGAAATGTTGTTGGAATATTCAAGAGATTAACCTCGGCTTTTGAAACCACTTTATATAATTCTTTTTTTATGAAATATTGAGATGCTGGTGACAATTTTTGTGTAGTGTGGTACATTGACATGAAAAAATGGTACAATGGATCATTTGGGATTTTCGAATCCTCTAACCTCTTACGTTCCAGCGCTCTCTCTTTTGCTCTTTGTTCTCGACTTGCTATTGATTGCTGGAATAAGTTAGTTATGTCATCTTTTTTTTTTTGAGTGGTTGTTTAAAACCCGATTTCTGAACGCCAATGATGATGTAGTATTTGTCATACCTTCAACAGAATCTTCTGTTGCGTCTACGTTTATATCATGTTCATTATTTTTGTGTACGAGTATTTCATTATCATTTTCTAATGTTGGTGCTTCTATATCATAATTATTTTCTGATATTTGTTCTTTACCTATTATTTCATCTTGTATAAAATCATCTTCGTCTTCGCTATTTAGTACATTAGAACTTCGTTTTCTATTTGCCATGTACGGCAACAAATATTCCATTTGTTTTTGGAATTTCCATTGTTTTATTATTTCAGCTGCAGCTCCACTTTTAAAACATCTTTTCTGTCTCCGGAGAGCATCTCTGTGGCAACTTCTCAATTTCGCCCATGTGGCTTTCACAGTTTCACCTGCAACCACAAAATGTTGAAATATATTTTATAAATATTTTTAAAGAACGTTTGAAGTTATTTTACATTTGTATAAAACTATACCTAGCATCTATTGTAATTTGCAAAATATATTTATTTACAGGTATTTAGCATCAGGAGATAGCTATTAAAGTATTGCGTACAGTTACAGAATGAGTGATCGAACGGTTTCAAACATAGTAAACGAAGTATCCTTGCTATATGGAATACAATGCACACATTATATTTACCACAACCCACAATGGAAATGTGGAAATTGATAGCTAAAGATTTCGAACAGATATGGCAATTTTCACACTGCGTTGGCGCATTGGATGGCAAGCATATCTTAATTAAGAAACCACCCAACAGTGGTTCGTCGTTTTACAAGTATAAACATACATTTTCTGTAGTTTTAATGGCTCTTGTTGACGCTCACTACAAATTCATAAGTGTTGATATTGGATCTATGCGAAGACATAGTGATTCAAATATTTTTTCGAGCGGTGCTTTGGCAAGAAAAATGAATAAACAAACTTTACAACTTCCACAACCTGCATTGTTACCCGATTACAATCAAACATTACCATTCGTGTTTGTAGCAGATAAAGGATTTCCGTTATGTGATAATATCATGCAACCTTATTCAAAAAGAAACATAACCGGAAATTTTGAAAATAAAATTTTCAACTATAGACTTTCGCGAGAGCGACAAACTGTCGAATGCACTTTTGGCATATTAGCTTCACGATTTCGAGTTTTTAGAAAACCGTTCGAAATTAAAATTGAAAGTGTGGATAATGTAATTAAGGCAGCTTGTGTATTACTTAATTATTTAAAAAACGAAATAACAATTTCAAATATTGTGCAGGGCGAAATTGATATAATGCCAGACTATCAATTACTGCCATTAAGTAACAACAACAGTAGAAGTGGGTCAAGTGCTTTTTTAGTGAGAAATAAGTTTACGCATTATTTCAATACAGTAGGAAGCGTACCTTGGCAAAAAGATTGTGTTTTTAGAGGTAAATACTAACTAATTTTGTACATAACATATAAAATAAATATAAATTTTGTGAAAAATGTTTATTTGTGTTATATTTAATTGGTCTATCCATCTATTTATATATTTTCTTGAATCGTTAAAATATTTCTAGTTGGTGTAATAAAATTAAATTTACGATAAGAAAATATGTAAAAATAGTCATCAATTTAATTATATAAATAATTGAAGTGACTAGTATAATATTATTGTAATATATAACAACTAGTGTATTATTATTGTATAATATATTTTATAATATAATTATGATGCATTTTATAGAAATTTTATATGAGATTATGCATTATTAACCTAAATCTTATTATACCTAACCTATGACAGTAAAATAAATATTTAAATATTAAAATAATAATAATAAAAATAATAATAATATAATAATTTATATTTTTATATTTTTAATCTAATAAATTATTCTTACCATTTTTAAATTTCAAATCTTTCGCAATATTTTCCCATATATTATTTTTCAATTTTGCCTTCATGTAGTCCGGATGGCTAGTGTCAAATAAGACACTGTATTGTCGAACTTCTTCAATAAGTTTTTTTTCCATAATATGTAGCTTAGTAAAAAAAAATTGAAAAAGTCGAAAAAGTTGAAAAATTGCGCTACACATTCGCAGGAAACTGTGTCATAAACACTGTGCGAAGCAGACTGACGTAGGAGCAGTACTGCGCTGCCCTACCCTGCAACTTAATTTACGCTCGTCTGTTCAAACCAGTAGATCACAAAAATTGTGTTGCGCTGTGTTACGCTGCGCTGTGTCGCCTACGTCTCAATTTGCGCCTTGCCTAATTGAGTAATAAACGATTAGATAAGATACTAATCCTAGATTTACTTTTATATATCTACCTACTATTAAATGTTATATTTCTACAATTTTCAAATTTGTTATCTGCATTTTTATTTTATTGATTATTGCAGACTACGAACACATACAATTCTATAAAATAATAAAATTTTCATGTCAGTTGTATTAAATTTCACATAATTTTACCAAATATGCATTTTTATGCACAAAAAAAACATGAATATGCAACTTTTGAGAAAACTACCAATTTATGCAAAAATTTGCAAAATTTAAATACCAAATTTCGATTCATTAGGTTATAAAACAGATTTTTATCTCACCTAGCTATAAATAGAAGATACAGAAAAAAATTTGCAAATCCTATAACTTCTCATCCCTATTGATGATTATGCAAATGGTCTGTAATTAAAAAAAATATAAATATTTATATTAATAAAAACAAGTTTTTATGTTAAGAAATATATTTATAAACGATTAAATAATATCGCGGAGCACAGTTGTTTGTGCTCCGGGTGGCCGTTTAAAAATTAGCTATATGTTTTTGTTGGAATTATCGTTCCTTTTGTGGAATCGTTCCAATCGGTACAGTTACAATAAAGTACCGATTCCAAAATACTCGTTACATCGGTACAATCGGTACATTTTTTTTAGTTACTATTGTACTCAGATTCGTATTGTTCCACGCTGAAAGATCAAGTATTCAAGTGTGTACTGTGTACTCGTTCTTGAAATATAATGGATAATTGATATTTATGAACGAATATGCTTCGACGCTTTGTACACCCATTATACAATACCTACTATTTTACTGTATTCGGAAATTATCACCGTTTTAATAATTATATAATGCAGTTACAATTAAATAAATATATGATTCATAAAAAACAATGTTTTATATATTATTATAAAATATAATGACATAAAAGTGTTGAAACTTGAAATATACAATATTAATACCTATTAGTTTATCACCTACTATTGTTAAATACAAATGCTAAATAAAAATAGATTTGTAAATACTTGTTTATTTATAAAAAAAACACAATAAAATAAAGAAATAAACATTTCCTGTGTCTGATTTCGGTATAGTTGATAGTTGTGAAATGTGTAATGATTAGGGCTAGGGACTTCATGCCCTATAAAACCTTAAAATATGCATGCATTTATGCACTTAAAAATGATCATATATGCTCTTAAAATCTTTTTATTTTCGAAAAAAACATTAAAATATTACAAACTTATATTACAAACTATTATTTATTAATTATTATTTTGATTGCTTCTTATTTAAACTCGCCTGTAACAGAAAAAAAAACAAACATTTCAAATATAAATGCATATTGTTTTTATAATTTAATATTTTTATAAATCTTACCCAAATGAATTGCATTGTGTCACTAAAATTTTTCTTATATTTTCAAAAGTGAATGAGCGGCGATTATTTGCCAATAAATTTTTGTATCTCGAAAACGAACGCTCGACATCAACAGAAGTTACTGGGGCGAATTTATAAAACTTTAAGTCGCTAACATTTAAGACTTAAGTCTTCAAGATTTTCCATAGAATTGTCTATGCCTTCTAAAATATTTGAAATTTGTTCAATAATTTCAAATCCTTTATTTTTTGACAGTACGTTTTCTAATTTTTTGTAAATAGCTTTTCCTTTTTCACCTTGTGGACTTTGCAGTTTTTCTTTAACAATTTTTACGACGGAAATAGACTCAAAAAGCATCATGTTTTGTTTTTCCAACCGTGTAATATAAGTTGAAAGAAAACTATAGTTCGAAGAAATAAATGCTAAGGTTGCTTTCAAATTTGGGTTGTTAAAAATATCTTTAGCTTTTTTGATGCTGCTCGCGTCATTTTCATCCAACTTGTTTATAATATTTTTTATGACTTCATAATTTTCACAGTAATAATTAGCTGCATCCAACCATGTTCCCCAACGAGTTAAAATTGGCTGTGGTGGCATTGGGATGTCAGGAGCTTCATTTTTAAATATTCGAGATCGAGTTGGTGCTTTCAAAAAGACTTTTCTTACATTAGATATAAGTTGGTCAACTATGTTAAAATATGAACGTAATTCTTCGGCCACACGATGAAATCCATGTACTATACATGTTACGTGTATCATCTTTGAGTAAAGTGCTTGAATTGCTTTTCCCGATTTCACCATATACGGCGCAGCGTCCGACAAAAATAACAAAACGTTATCATGATGTACGCCTTGTGGCCATAATATATTCATAGATTTATCAAAAAGTTTAAAAATAGTTTGATGGTTTGCCTTTTCTAATTCTTCTGTATTTAACAAAAATATCTCACCTGGTTCGTCAGTACGTAAAACTCCTATAATAACATTGGCTACAAAGCGGCCTTCGACGTCGGTCGTCTCATCAATAGATACCCATATTTTGTTATTTGATACGCAATTTCGTATTTTTGCTAAAGTATCTTGATAACAGTCATCTACATAGCCTTTGCGAAGAGTGGCCTCTTTTGGAATTTCTTTTCCTGTATATTCTTGTAAAAATGCTTTAAATTTTAAATTTTCTATTTTGTATAAAGGAATATTAGCAAATAACATAGCTTCACATAAATCTTTGTTAAACTGACATTTTTTAGTTGGCGGATTAAATTCTAGAAGCTGTTGACTTTTTTTTGATTTATCAATACGGTTTACTGACTTAATATGTTTTTCGGTTTTAAGGTGTTGCAATACAGTAAAACGTTTTTCAGCACTAAATTTAACTTCACAAAATTTACAAAACAGCACTGACTGATCAACTAAAAACACTGAACTACCAAATTCCGAAACATACGACAGTAGGCGACTAGATGTATTTGCCTTTACTTTAGGCATTTTTATTTTTAATTTTAAACTTTTATTCACACAAGATGCAACTACGCAAGACAAACACACGTACGACACGAATAGACGAATTGACATCAACTGACCGTATTCGGTGTATTCCTTATCGACCAATTTCACAATACACAAATAATTGGGAAAATACACGGTATAGCGATTATTTAATCTAATCTATTTTTATCCAATTTCTAGAAAATTCGTATATTAAATATTCTGTAGTTGTTGTAGGTACCACTACCTATGTATACAATATTTTTCTCTGTTATGCATGTATTGTTTTAAACTTGTTTAAATAAAATATGTGAAATATGCACTTAAAATACAAATAAAACAAAATATGCTCTTATAGGGAAAAAACAGCTGAATATACAAAATATGCAAAATAAAAATGATTGCTTTAAACTCCTAGTACAATGAAACAAATTTCTATATCACTTAGCTATGTTTAGAATGATTATTGACAAATATGCAAACTCCTATAAGTCCCTAGCCCTAGTAATGGTATTCGTATTCTATTAATAATATTTAATATTTACTTTATCAAGAATCAAAACTATATATAACCTATAATATATCACAATACACATACGTATAAATAATAATATTGTTTTGAGTGGTTTTTATTTTACATTACTGTAATTGAATTTATTTTCATTTGGTTAACAGTCGCCATTGGTAACCATCTTATTATCTTAGTTATTAAGTACTTAATTTTTATGAAGTTAAATAATTTGGTGTTTTCGAGATTTTTGAATCAACAACATTCTAAAAGGTAAATACTGGATTTATGTTAGATACTAAAATATTATTATTTTTAAATGGAGAAGAAAATTAGTGACATCTGGAATCACTTTTCAGTGATAAATAATGAGAAGGCAAAGTGTTCATACTGTTCAAATCCAATTTCGTATAAATGGGGTTCAACTACGAATTTAACCAAACATTTAAAAAGGAAACACTATGTACAATACGAAGTTAGAAAAATTCCACGTTTAGAAATGGTAGAGCAAAATTTAGATGAACATGAACCTGATGAACCTAACGAGAAAATACCACAAACCTCACAACCTCAAACTTTAAGTTGTCAACCTTTCACAACGACCAACATAAATACAAAAAAAACACGTCCATTACAAACTCGAGTAGATTCATATATTACGAAACCGATTTCTCTAAATAAACAAAAAATACTCGACGAACAGTTAGCAATTATGATTGCAAAAGAGTTTCAACCATTTAGTTTGGTGGAAAATGAAGAATTAAAAAAATTCGTTCATCTATTAAATCCTGGGTACAAATTACCATCTAGAAAAACAGTATCAAAATCATTATTACCACAGCTACTCAATGAAACTAAAGAAAGTGTGAAAAATAATTTAAATAATGCTCAATTTATAGCGTTTACTACTGATGGTTGGACCTCAATAAATAATGATAGCTTTGTTGCCGTGACCGTTCATTTTATTGATACAACAGAATGTGTTATAAAGTCTTTTTTACTTGGGTGTTTTAATTTTGAAAAATCTCATTCTAGTAATAATTTGTCGGTGTTTTTAAAAGATTGTTTTAATGAATGGAATATTAGTGAAAAAATCAAGGTTGCTGTTACTGACAATGCGACAAATATAACAGCAGCAATCAAAATGAATAAAAACTGGCATAATATACCATGTTAAGCTCACACAATAAATTTAATTGCTCAAGCTGGACTAGAAGAAATAAACCACGTATACAAAAAAGTTAAGAAAGTTGTCGAGTTTTTTAAACGAAGTACACAGTCATATAAAAAATTAAAAAATACACAAACTCAAATGGGTTATCCAGAATAGAAACTGATTCAAGACGTTACTACGCGCTGGAATTCAACTTTTGACATGTTTCAAAGGTGTATACTAATTAAAGAACCACTCATTTCCACAATTGCTATAATAGGTAACGTAGACAATTTGACTAACGAAGATTTTGAAATAATGCAACACTATTGTGAAATATTTAAGCCCTTTAAAGAAGCCACTGTTGAACTTAGTTCTAAAAAAGGCGTTTCAACTTCTAAAGTCTTAATTATAACTCAAATGTTACACTCTCACATTAAAAATAATATACAGAACATTCAACTACCACATACAATTCATTTGATGCTTTCTAAAATGCTAACGAAAGCCGATAAAAAGTTTGAAGGTATTGAAAATCAACGAGTATTAACAGAGGCAACTTTATTAGATCCACGTTTAAAAAAAAAAGCATTTGATAACCATATTATATACCAGCGTACGTACGATCAAATCGTAGAAAAAATTGGGGCAATAATTAAAAGGAATAAAAATAATGACGAACATAATATAAATACACCATTGAACAATAATGCAATAGAAAATGAAACATCTGAAATTTGGAAACACTTTGATGCACAGGTATATCGTATACTAAATTTATATATTTAATATATTTATAAGAGTTTGTAACTTAAATCATATTGTAATTGTATGTAGGTGTCAACACCAACATTAAGTACACCAACATCTGAAGCTATTGTGGAGATCGACAGATATATAAGTGAGCCGTTACTCGACAGAAAATCAGATCCACTTAAATGGTGGAATAATAGAAGAAATATCTATCCAAATTTGTTTGAGATGATGTTATTACGGTTGTGTGTGCCGTCGAGTTCTGTTCTGTGTAAACGAATCTTTTCAAAAGCCGGATATACTATTTCAGAAAGACGTAGCAGGTTATCGTTAAAAAACAATTATTAAAATAAGTAAAATTGTTCATCATTACTATTATTATTATTTTTAAACTTTAAAATCAATGCTTGTTAATTGTTATTAGTATTCATATTAAAATAATAAATTACAACGTAAATTAACATACTACGTAGTACGTACCGAAGTCGTGCGTTAGCGTGTGCGTAGAGTTTACGCGCAGAATTAGAAACGCAGTGGAACGAACAAAATATTTGTATTTCATGTCCTACTGTTAGTATAGTCGCCACTCGCCAGTCGGTACTCGGTATCGGTATCGCCTAATGGGGACCATTTTGTAGTTAGAAACTTTGTACCGACGTAACGTTTGAGGAACGATCAGCTGTACTCGTTCCTACTCGTTCCACCAATGTAATCGTTACTTTGTACCGAATACAGCAGTAACGACCCACCTCTACGTCGACACGCCGGTTTGTAATACATGGCAATTTGGAGCACATTTAATGTGTGCACCGATCCTATTTTATTGTCGCGATATCGTGTCATTCGTCGAAACGATAACGCATCATTGTACGGTATCCATCAACTGCTTCCAGTGTGCAGCTGTCAAATCAACTAATAACTACTATAATATCCATAGACTTATTATTATTATTATTATTATTATTATATGTCTATTATAATATTAACGTTGATAATATAAAAACAGATTAAAATCATATTGTTATGATTAGCTATTATTTGCCATTAGTTTCGTCAAACAGCGTGTCGTGTACGGTTTGCGTTTAATAGTTTCTTTGTACGAATATTAATATTATTAATTTTATACTTTTATTAATTATTTTTCGTGGGTATCTATCATTATTAGTATCATTATCTATCATTATTATATATTAGTTCAAACATGGTTACTGTTGAATATTTATCAAATAACAGTTTTTCAACTTTATCTCCGGAAAAAAAATTCGAAATAAAAAATGAAGGTAGGCCAACACCTATTTTAAGTATTTCTCAAATTACAAAATCTAAGTCTAGAGAATTTAAACGGAGTTTTAATTGTGATATTTACAAAAAGCGTGAATGGTTAGGTTAGGATGTTCTAAAGTAAATCGCCTTTTTTGTTTTCCTTGTATTTTTTTTCTCGATAATCTGGTGATAATAATTGTGTACAAAAAGATATTAACGATTTAGCTCATTTAAATATGAAAAACAAAATGCATGAAAAATTAACTTCTCACATTAGTTCACATTTAAGTTTAAATCTTCTAGGAAAACAAGATATTAGGCAACAACTCTCAAATGCAAACAGATTATCTATAAAACAATATAATGAAACCGTAGCCCATAACCGTTACATTTTATCAAAAATAATTGACTGCATTAAATTTTGTGGGGCTTTTGAGTTAGCTCTTCATGGATACAACGAGAAATCTGATTCTGTAAATCCTGATATATTTCGAGGACTGATTAATTTTAGTTCAAAATTAGACGATAAATTAAAAATGTATATTGAAAAGTCGACAGTCTTTAAAGGTCTTTCTAAATGTTGGATTGTATGTTATTTGTCATACGTCAGAATATAAAAAATGAAATACAACAACCTGATTTTTTTTCAAAAATTGCTGATGAAACTACAGACATATTATCTCAATTTCAAATGTCTATAGTGTTTAGATATATTTTATCTAACGGTACATCGGGTGAAAGATTTTGGGGATTTTTCATTCCCTCTGGACATGATGCCAAATCATTATCTGATTGTATAAAAGATAATTTAAAAGAAGTATCAAAAAATACTGATAAATTGATTTCACAAAGTTACAACGGAGCCGCCGTTATGAGTGGCCGATTCTCCGGCGTGCAAAAGCTTATAAGAGACGAATATAAATACGCTCACTTTGTTTATTGTTATGCACATCAATTGAATTTGATTTTAAGTAAAGCCACTACTCAAAACTGTGATGTTCGAATTATTTTTTCTTATTTGACCGACATCACAAACATTTTTTTCAAATTCCCCTCAAAGAGTGGCAATTTTAAATAAAATCGTTAACCACAGAATTCCACGTTCTTCAAATACTAGGTGGAATTTTAAAAGTCGTATAATTAACACCGTTTATGCAAATTATGAATCAATTATAGAATGTTTCGAAGAAATTGAAAATACTTTCAACTAGGACATTGCAATTAATCAAGCTGGAGCATTACGTCGATTACTATTTATATTTTGGTTGAATGTATTTCATCGTTTAATTCCACACGTTTACATTTTATACAATCAATTACAAAAACGAACCATTGACCCAATTCAAGTTTATAACGCAATAAATCAATTTAAAGAAAACATTCAAAATGAAAGAAATAATTTTTCAAATGAAGTGCCTGATGATGTTTTAACGTCCAAAAGAAAAAGATCAATTAATGTCACAAATGTTTCAAGGAATGCAGCTTCAAAGGATATATGTGATGTTTTTATTAGTAGCGTTCAGGACCGGTTTGAGTATAAAGATTATTTATTTGCTTCTTATTTATTTATATCCCCGAATTTTCCTTCATATGAAAAACATTTTCCACAACAATATTTCGACAAAACAATTGAATCTTATCCTGTATTTTATAACAATAAACTTGAAACTGAATTAAAATGAACATATAAGCGAACCGATTTTCGTGATGTGTCAGGGGCATCTTTCCGTGTGTTGTGGGGTTCAACCAGTTCTTCCGAGTAACCTCGGAGACACTCAGTCCCTTTGTATAGCCGCGAGGTTGTCTCTTCGGGACAGTAGTCCCGGATGACTTCGGGGGTCCTGCCCGGGGCGCCGCCTCACCTCGGGCGCCATAATGTGTGACCGCCGCGGCCAGAGCCCGACGGATTATCGCCTGAATCAAACCCCTTCTACTAAGGCGGTACTCCCACAACCACCACGAGTCCTTCCTCAAGTGTGCCTTTCCCGGTGCGGGCGAGCGCGAGTCCTCGGTGAGTCCACGCGGTCGTGCGCCTCGGGTCCAGCACCCCCGGAACGTCAAGGCGCTATTAGCAAGCCGACTCGACAGGGCTTACTCAGAATCCCGTGGTACGAGGTTCGAACCCGGCGTTCAGGCCCTCGCAACTGCCTTGTCCGCAAGCAGGTCGATCGGGGCACCGCTGTGTGTACCACGACAACCCCCTTTAGTGAGTCCACCCTTCTCACTAGCCTCCCACCGTGCTTGCCATTCGGCAATACCTTCCACCTCTACCCTTTTCACATGCTCCCTCCCGAGCCCTTGTCTCCTACTTCTAGCTAAGCGACCCCATTGTCTTGCAGCCAGGTACAGAGGAAGAACCCCCGCCAGCACAGGCAGGGCATTCGTACTCGTAGTACGGTATGCCCCCGTTACCGCCAAGAGTGCACCCCTCTGAGCTCCTAACAGCAGACGTTTCATCAAACGATCGCTGACAGTTTCGCCCCACACTGCAGCCCCGTAAAGCAGTCTCGGCACAAATACACTTAAATATAATCTGCGCGTCTTCCGCCCACTAAGGCCCCAGGTTGAGGCTACTATCTGTCGGATCCTCTGAGACATTGGAGCCGCATTCCCCGCTACTCTCCGCACATGATTTCTAAAGCTCCACCTATCGTCCAAGGTAACGCCGAGATAATCCATCTCTGTTACCTCCGCTATCCTCTTCCCGACCATCCTAACTGTGAAGGGTGGAGTCAGTCTTCTTTTCAAACACATGAATTTCGTCTTTGTGGCCGAAAAGGTCAACTTCATGCCACCCGCCCAGGATCCTGCTCTTTTCAGTTTGGACTCTGTCTTTTGGATCACCTCTGATATCGTCTTCCCAGCTATCATCAGCAACGCGTCATCCGCGTAACCGATGGATAGTTCCCCTTCCGATTCTTCAAGACTTAATAAAGAGTCCATCAAAATGTTCCAGAGTTCTGGTCCGAACTGAGATCCTTGAGGACAACCCTTGGACAGCCTAACCTGACTTCTCCCCGTCGGCACAGTGATACTGGCGTATCTTCCCCCTAGGTAATCCCGTGTTATCTCACACAACCTCTCAGTGGCTCCCAACCTTTTCAGATGATGCAATATTGCCGGCCACCAGGCATTGTCGAACGCTCCCGAAATGTCCAAAAACACTCCAAGAACGTACTTCTCTGCCCGACTTTTGGTCCATTGCCTCATTCTTAATATTGCATCAGTTGTTGATCTGTACGCTCTAAAGCCATATTGATTATCGTTCATAATCGGACCAATTTTTTTCCTCAGTCTCACGCATATTAGGTACTCCAATGCCTTTGACAGCACCGGAAGTAGGCTGATTGGACGATATGACTTTGGGTCAGATTTATCCTTGTCACGATTTTTCAATAGGGGTACCACCACAGCATACTTCCACCCTCTCAGAAAACGGGCTCTTCTCCAACACTCGTTGAAAAGAGTGGTCACTATTTCCGCCATCACTGGGAACGCCACTCTAAGGATTCTAGCTGTTAGATCATCCTCCCCAGGAGCTTTGTCCCGTCCAATGCGCCAAATCGCCCTCTTCACTTCCTCCTGAGAAAATTCCTCGCAGTGGTTGCTCCCACTTTCTCCACTCCAGACCGTTTCTTCAGTGTCCCCTAGTTACACTCCCGTCTCCCTACGGAGTTGTTTGTGCTCTTCGGTTTCACCGTCGATCGTATCCGGAGGAATTAAGGTGTTGAGCAGTAAGTCCAGAGTTTCAACCAGGCCCACTGTGCACCCACTTCCCTCCTTTCGGAGGGTTGCAAGCACACCTTGTGAGTCAGTATTCGCTCCTTCTTTACACCACCGGTAGGATGACCCCCATGGTTTCTCATTAACCTCTTCCGTGGTAAATTTTCTCCAGGTCCTCGTCTGTTCTTTTCTCCTTCCTGCTGTGTACTTATTTCTCTCTCTCTCCTGTAGATCTCTTGCAATGCGGCCGTCCTTTCCTCGCTTCCTTCAGCTCGAGACTTACACAGTTTCCGTCTTATCCGCTTGACAGTACGCCTCTGGGTCTCAAGTTCCTCCGTGAACCACGTCGGCTTTCTGAGTCCATGAGGCCTTATCATCGGCATCGATTTCTTACATGCTTCGGTCAAAGCCAAAGTTAGGTAATCCGCTCTGGAATGTATATCCCCCCTCTAGCCAGCGTGATTGACCGTCAAACAGTCTTTCAGCTAACCTTTGGCGAAAAACATTCCAGTTGGCTTTCCGGACATTGAACCTATTTCTTTCCCATTCAGCTCTTTTTTCTTCCTCTTTTACATCGTAGCAGAATACTACGTATCCCTAGTAACCGCGTTCAACACCACCCTCCAATCGTGAATGTTCACGGCGGCTCTTACTGACGCAAGCGTCAGATCAAGTATCGCCGATCCCATCCCAGACTGAAACGTAGGCGTCCAACCCGCATTACAGCAGACCATGTTACCCTACATGATTATATCCTCTACCCTCTCCCCTTTCGCGTCTGTATATGTGTCGTTCCATAATGTATACCTAGCGTTCATATCGCCCCCAATAAACCAGTCTGCTACTCCCAATCGCCGGATGACCTCTTCCAATCTTTCGACATGGATTTCGGTCGGCTCCGAGAACTGGAAATACACACTGCCCACAAAGAAGCTCTGATCCCCGTTTTATATTTCCACTATTACCAGATGAATCCCGCTAAACTGCTTCATTAGTGTTACCCCCAGTTTTGGGTTCACAACCAACACCGCAGTCGCCGGTTTTTCACCCGGTAAGGAACCGGTTATTAACCGAAGTGGTGATTTACCAAGACAGGCAAACGTCCCAGCTCCGGTTACATACAGCTCCTGGATTAACACAATATTCAGACCTCTTCTCCCTACCTCGGACAGCAGGTCATCTATTGCCAGTTTCCCCCGTCCCAGGTTTACCTGCCCTATTCTTATACTGTCCATCTGAATTTCCGTGCTTCCTGCCGGAAATTCACCTCCCACGTGTGATACTTTGAGGTGTCCACTCTCCCAACCGCTTGCGGCGCAACAAGCACACCGTATCGCGACCTGTCGAGCAGTGCTTCGCGCAGCGTGATGCGAGCCCGCGCATCGCCCGCAGACCACCACCGAAGCCTTGTGTAACACACCAATGTGTCCATATCGCTGGCACTTGTGGCACCGCAACACTTTCACACTGAGGCCCACACGACAACGGGACAGCCCAACAAACAACACCTGACCACCCACAATCTTGCCAGCAACCTCAGACGTGATCTCAAACTCAATTTCTCTTCCTCTACTCGTAAGCCTGTTACTCCTAGGGATGAGTTTGAGAATTTTACTCCAGCCAAAACCCAGATTCACAGAACCAACGTTCTGCTTTTCCAACTGAATAGCTATTTCATCATCCCTTACCTCAATCCCTACGCCGAATATATTTTTCGAGGGTTTCTCTCGCCCGCTCTACGTAAATCGAGCGAAGCGTTTTGGAGAAGTTTTCGGCTCTCCTCATTCTCCGGCTCAACATACAGCTTTCCTGCACCCACCTTCTTAATCTTTCTGAACTTTGGGTTGTGCACCCCCGTTCTTATTGCCTCCCAGAGAGTCTTTACCAGTTCCGCCTCAGTTGCCTCAAGGACAACTTTTGGCTTCCCTGGTTCAGCCTCTCCTTTCAACACTAACGTTGACGATGTACGCCCCGCAGTTTTTCTCCTTAACTTTCTTAGTTTCCTCAAGGAGTATTCTTACGTCCTTGGGAACAACCCTCTTCACTCTTTTTGGTTTTTTTTTTTACTGTCGTCCATCCCTCTGCCTGTGGCACTTTTGGCTTTTCAAGACCCGGTCTTACCGGGTTTTCCTCCCGTTTTCGCCCTTCTGTCTCCAGCCCAGACCGTACCAGGCTCTTAGGTTCTTAGGTTGTTTTGCAACCTAACTACCCCTGGTGCTACATCGAGCCGGCCCTTACCTCAACTGGTTTGGGTCGGTAGGTTCGGTCTACCTGCTAGCAGCAGCAAATGGACTCGGACGGAAACCGCAAACCACCACCGGGGGAGCGATCGACCCCCGATGTCCTGGAAGATCTGGCCCAACAACCGGAAACAAAGACAACCGACGCTAGGCTGGCGTCGGCAGTGGCGGCCAAGCCACACACTAACATACATGATGAGTACAACCAACAATCTTGATGTTACTGCTACAGGGGCTTCGGAAACCCCAGAGCCGGCGGTTGGGGGACGGTGCTCGCCCCAGGTGTCGTCATCACCCGTAAGCACTAAAAGTGTAGAAGTACCGAGGCAGGCTTCTACCGCCAGCAATGGAGCTGGTAATGCAACTGCCGGAGAGGGTGCAAAACAGGCCCTCTCCAGTGGCCGGAAAGCCACTGAGGCAACTGCACCCGCTTCACTGTCCCGTTCGCAAGCAGAAGCAAGATACACAAAACTGCTAGAGGATACTATGGCTCAACTGCAGACGCTAGAGGCAGCGGTTCGCGCAGCCCCAAATACTAAGCTCGACGTGAAAACAGGAGTCAAAGCCATAGGTGTCGGGCTCAGGGAGTTTACGAACCTTGCAAAGAAACTCGGAATGGTAAGGAACCCAGATGCTCAGGAGCAAAGATTAAAAATGCTACAACAACAGCAGTTGCAGCAGCACGCGCAGATGACAAAGGCTCTAAACGACATTCAAGAGGGCATAAGACAAAGGGGTATTGTTGGTAGCGCAGTGGACTTGTCGGTAGAAGAACAAGGTGCTCGCACCATGGATATCCACGCGCGCCTGGCGGAACAAAGTGGCAAAATTGATGCAATAACAGAAATTGTGGAAAAGATACACACTACGTCACACCTGGAGGTACCAAACGGCCAGTGGTCGGAGGTAGTCAGAAGAAAACCCCCCAAAAATGCCGGACCCAAGTTGGTAAACAGCAGGGCAACAGGACCTTTGAGCACGGCTACTGAGGACGGCACGCAATCAACACGCTTGGTGCCGAAACCAATCAAACGCTCTAGACCACCGGCAATCCTGGTAAATGTCAAGCGCGAAGACTTTCCGTCTTGGCAAAGAAAATTCGAGGGGGTGCGGACCACAAGATAATTGGTGATCGAGTAACCGGAATGAGACAAACAAACTCTGGAGGCCTACTCATAGAGGTCCGCGGAGATCCATCCCAAGTAGAGGCAGTTAGAGCCGAGGTCTCTAGATTAGCGGGAGACGAGATCGAGGTCAGATCATTGCAGCAGAGAACAACTCTCGAAATCAAGGACCTAGATGAATGGAGCACCAAGGAGGAAGTCATCTCATCCCTGCTAGCCTCCTATGGGACAGAAGGCGAGATATTCAAAGTGGCAAGTCTCAGAAGGCAGTATGGAGGGACTCAGGTAGCTGTGGTCACGGCCCCTTCGGCCATTGCGCAAAAGGCGATAAGCGCCGGACGCCTTAGAGTAGGTATGGTGAGCTGCCGGATTAGACTGCACGAAGGCAAGGAGAGGTGCTTCCGCTGCCTTTCATTTGGTCATATGTCCAAGGCCTGCAAGGGAAAGAACAGGAGTGGATGCTGCTGGCGATGTGGAGCGAGTGGACACTTGGCGGCTAATTGCAAAGCGGAAAGAGAGACGATTCTCTCATTCCAGAAGACCTTGGAGGCTGGCAAGGCCAGGAATGAACCGCGTCGTTACGACGAGGCGGTCAGTGGCGTCCAAAACCCATAATGACACGCATACTCCAAATAAACACTGGAGTGTGCCGCGCCGCACAGGACCTGGCACTGGCAACTGCGTCTAAAATGGACATTGACGTGCTGATCCTTAGTGAACCATATAGGTGCGGCTCAGAAGCAGAAGGATGGTTCACGGATACTGGATCGAAGGTTAGTTATCGATTGTAATATTCAACCCCAGGCTGCAAATACAGGACATCGGCCCAAAAGACAACGCAGGATTTCGATGGGTCAAAGTGGAGGACCTCACGTTGTATGCCTGCTACTGGTCCCCTAACACGGTTTTCACCCAGTTCATTAACTTCCTAGACCGTTTAGAGGGCAGCATTAGGCAGCAAGTGGGCACGGTCATAGTCGCCGGAGACTTAAATGCGAAATCACCAGCTTGGGGAGATCACACCGAAGAACCCAAAGGGCGCGCTCTGGTAGACATGATTGCTAGCCTGGGGTTTGCAGTCTGCAATACTGAAGACAAACCGACTTTCTCCAGGGTATACGCCGGTGGTATATCGAGGTCACACATAGATGTAACGTTCGTCAACGATAGTAGCAGCCACCTGGTGAGCGACTGGAAAGTGTTGGACGAATACAGCGCATCACTCCACAGATATATCATGTTTAAAGTCACGAGAGAAATTCGTACGGAGAGTCTCCCTCCAGAGGAAAAGTGGTCGTGGAGGAAGTATGATAGATCGAAACTGCTCAAGTTCATCGAAACCGCTGACTTTGGAACGGGTGGTGAAACGCGGCAGGTTGACGCGAGTCAGTTGGACAAGTACCTAAAAGATGCATGTGACAGTTGTATGCCCAAGGGAAGGTACAGAGGAGGCAAGAAGTCTGCTTATTGGTGGACGCACGACATAGCCAAGCTTCGTGGCGAATGTCATAAAGCAAGACGTGAATATAAGAGGGGGCGTCTCCGACCGGCCGAAGAACAGGAACAAAGGAAGCAAGACTTCAGGAGAGCAAGGAAGGAGCTGAAGTTGGCTATCAGGACGAGCAAAAAGGCATGCTGGAACGATCTGTGCAGACAGGTAGAAACCGATCCATGGGGCCTCCCGTATAAGCTGGTTACAAAGAAACTGTTAGGCAGAAGGCCAATCCCGGGACTCTCAACGCCGGGTAGAGTGGACACGATAGTCGACGCCCTCTTCCCGAGGGAGGATGTGGTGGTATGGCCTCGAACGATGGAGAACCATGCATTTCCAGAGGTCACTTGTGCTGAAGTGGGAGTGCTAGTGCACAGAATTCCAAGCGGGAAAGCGCCGGGACCGGACGCCGTCCCTGACCTGGTAGTTAAGGAAATTGCCATAAACAGACCGGAGATCCTGAGAGACATCTACAACAAATGCCTCAAAGACAGTGTTTTTCCTCAATCTTGGAAGGTGGCGAAGCTGGTCCTCCTGAGGAAAGGGGACAAACCCCTGGACGACCCATCGTCGTACCGGCCGATATGCCTCCTTAATACGGTGGGAAAGTTTTTTGAGAGAATTATTAAGACTCGGATGGAAAAATGGCTCGAAGAACATGCTGACCTAAACGATCGCCAATACGGATTTAGGAAGGGGCGGTCGACGGTGGACGCGATCAAACGTGTCACTGACGTAGTGGACAAAGTTGGAACCGGGCCGCTATACCGAAGGAAACTGTGCGCAGTGGTAGCCTTGGACGTGGCTAACGCGTTCAACTCAGCAAAATGGCCAAAGATTGTCAAATCCATGCAAGATAAGCGGTTCCCGCCATATCTTGTCAGTATCATACAGAGTTATCTGAGCAACAGGTCAGTCATATATGAGGGAAACTCGAGACCCTCAACCTGTGGAGTTCCGCAGGGTTCTGTGCTGGGGCCACTCTTATGGAACCTTATGTATGATGGGCTGCTGGACGTGGACACGGGAGGAAACGTGAGTGGTATGTCGTCAACGGAGCTGGTGGCTTTCGCAGACGATGTGGCATTGGTGTCAACTGGTCATACGACATGGTTACTGGAAACGGCAACGAACGAGGCGCTGAACAGGGTGGCTGAGTGGATGACGAGCGCTGGCCTAACCCTGTCAATACGGAAAACCGAGGCCGTGATATTGACCACGAAAAGGGGATACAGTATGCCGGTGTTCTCGATCGCGGGAAATCGCATCGAAATCAAAGACAGCATTAGTTACTTGGGTGTACAACTCCATAGAGTGCTTGGATTTAAAGCACATGTGGAGACGGCGGCGGCAAAGGCACAGGCCACCGCATCGACGTTAGCAAGGCTGATGCCCAATATTGGAGGCTCTGGGCAGAAGAAGCGGAAGCTACTATCTACAGTTGTGGCGAGCAAACTGTTGTACGCCTCGCCAATATGGGCTAAAGCTCTGGTGTTCAGCCGGAACGTTGAGGCCATTGGGAGGCCTCAGAGGACGATGGCAGTAAGGATAGCGAGAGCCTATCGCACGATATCTACGGCAGCGGTGATGGTGATCGCGGGTCTAATACCGGTCCATCTCTTAGCATGGGAGAGGGTGCAGAGATACATCCGGAAGCACGAACCAGACCCAAGCCGAGTGTCTATGGAGATCCACAGTGAGGTGCTGCGCAAATGGCAGTTGGAGTGGGATAACGAAAAAAATGGAAGATGGACTTGGAGAATGATAAGGAATATAAACGCTTAGACAAGCAGAAAGCATGGAGTTGTAGATTTTCACATGACGCAATTCCTGTCCAACCACAGATGTTTTGGAGAGTACCTAAACAGGATCGGCAAATTGGATGTCACTTCTTGTGTGGACTGTCAGGAGGCGATCGACGATGCGGAGCACGTGTTTTTTAATTGTGACAGGTGGTGAAGGGAAAGAAGAGCATTAGAGGTAGAGCTGGAAGAGGAACTGAACCCGGACAGCATTATAGGATGTATGCTGAAGAAGCCGAGCAACTGGGAAGCCGTCAGCGCAATTGTGAAACGCGTGCAGTCAACAAGGGAGGATGAAGAACGGACGCGACAACGCAACAAATGTGAACTAAAACAACAAATTAATTAAGTTTTTGTTAAATGTGTGCCGAAACAATACGTAACTG